AGTACTTGTGGAAGAAGCAGATTGCTGAGGCTCATCCCACCTGCTAACAGAATCCCTGTCTCTGCATGTGATAGAGGCAGTAAGCCATCCACTAAAGAGGTTTGCTTCACTTTCATAGAGTAATTGCTGGAAGCTGCCCTACAGCCAGCACCTACCCTGAATCTAGATGAAGCCATCAAGTAAACTTTGCTCACAGATGTCAGCAGAAATAAATAGATTACTTCTGCATTATAGTCTTAAGAATAGGTGTACCTGTCAGGGTTCTCTCCTTCCTACTGCCCATCCAGATGCGGAGAACTTAGAGGCCCTAAGGAACAGCAGAATCACAAGGTAAGAGGATCAGGGTCCCTGGAGCATCACAAGGAGGAAAACATCCCACCCACAAGGGCATCGCGCACACGAGCAAAAAAGAAACTTTGAAACAAGTGATGAAAATGTTTAAGTATTAGCAAAATTTAAATAACGAATCTCATTTACCCATTACCCAGTTTCAACAATTATCAAAGATTTTCTGTATTGGCTTAACTGTCCCTTTTGTCTTCTCTTTGTTAAAGTATTTCAAAGTAAACACCAGGCATTGTGTCATTTCATCATTTCATAATTCAGTATGTGGCTCTTAAAGAACATGTTCTTGACCATAATGCCAGGTTATACTTAATAAAATGATTAATGATTCCTTGGCATCATCTACAAAGCCCATACATTTTCATTGGGTTGCTATGTCTCTTACATGAAGTCGTCCCTTTTCCCACCGTTTTCTCTGGTCATTGCCGTCTTACAGTAAGCAAGCCAGTTCTGCAGAATGTCCCCTATTCTGGATTTGTCTGTTTGTTTCCTTGTATTGATATCATTTACTTGTTCTTCTATTCCTGTATCTTCTATTAATAAAAGCTTGCTCTACAGACTCTAGGTTTGACTGTTCTTGGCAAGAATATTTCACAGTATTAAATGCTGGTGTTTTTCTTGGTAAAAATGTAGAGTATGAGAATAACACAATCTACTGTAGTAAGCAACCATAAGTGATCCAAATGGACCCTGCAATTGCAAACAAACTCACATGAAATGTCCTTTTTCCTCTTGTCTAACTTACGGCTTGGAGCTCAGCTCAGGTGCCAACTTTATGGGAAGCTTTTACTAACACCTTCCTTTTCTGGTATAGACTAGTGGTATTTGCTACAAAAGCTTTTGCATGTCTCTATCCTAGCATTCACTTGTCACATTAATGACATATTTGCTTGTCTTACAAGATGGGACTCAACCTTAGTTTTTACTAAGGACCAGAAAGCAACCAATCCAGCAATCCAAAGTGAGGTGCTATATGCCTATACAAAACTTGTAGAGAAGAAACAGTTTTGGTTCTGGCCATATCCAGACTGTTTTGGTGACAGTTAAGTATTCAGTCAATAAATTGGAACCCAGGGAAAAAATTTCTCTGAAGAGTGTTATTAGTATGCTGTGGGCCTTTCCTACCACATCGAAGAGAGGTAGAGAATTCTTTACTGTTCCTCAAGCCGAGCAATCAGAGCTTTGATGAGCTAAGAGTTTGATCTATGCCTCCTGTGGTTCAGGGGACAGAGCAACAAAGCACTCTGGAAGGATTTAAAGGCCAGAAGCTGTGACAATTAGCCAAAAACAGAGAAAAGAGAACTCAACCAGCTGCACCGAGAGCCAGCTGCACTGTCTTGACAGTTCAGTGTTCTCCTAGGTCTGAAAGAGAGAGTGACAGAGAGAGACAGATCATACCAGTTTATGGCCATTTCAAATTCCACCCAAAGAACTCTGTGGAGGGGTAATTATTCCACCCGAGAGGTGGACCATTTGATTTCCGGGGTTGGAGGTAGGGGATATAAGCAGCCACTCGAAAGAAAACACATCACTCATGTCAGAGCAGGTTGCTTTGCATTCCTACTGGGAGCCTCCAAATAACCCATGTGACAGACTGTCAGCCAAACACTTGCCCTGGCCCAAGGAAGCCAATGTGAGATTACCTGAAAGCCAGCCAAGCCCTTTCCTGCCTCTTAGCACTCCAGCCCTCACCTTCATCTGGGGCTGCAGCCTTAGAGGAACCAGATGCAGCGAGTGGGAGAAGAGCAGAGCTTCAGGGCAGGGGAATGGAGAAGCTGCCTGTGTCTCTGGAGACAGCTTAAGCTAGTCAGAAGGGAAATCTTGATCTTTAAATGAAATCTGAAACAAGCCTTGTTGTCTCTAGAAGTGACCAGAAGACATTATTTGAAATTTACCAGAAAGGTCATGAGGCATGTCCTAGATTTCCTCCAAAGGTCAGGAAGAACATTTTTGCTCCTTGAATGTGAACGTGAACAGTGAATCAGAATAGGCAGTTTGGAATAAAAGAATAAACTTTTCTAATCACAGCCTTGAGACCCCTTGATTAACAGTGTCTCATGTGTCCAATTTATCTAGCAGACTGAGCTCTCCTTAAGGGCAAGGACCATCCTACCCAATGTTATATCCTAAAATGTACTTAGTGTATAGGCATACGGGTAAGGTCTGAGAGAGTACATATGATGGAAATACACTGTAGTTTATTTAACCCTTTAAGTATCAAACAAATTAGGTCACTACTTTATCACTTCCAAAGGAGTGTAAAACAAGTACCTCCATTTATGCATGTTGAAGAGAGAAAATAATTTATCAAGAGTAAGTATTGACCATTTGCTGGTGAGATTGAGTTACTATTCATTTATAGTACAGTTTTCTCCAACTATTAATCAGTTTATATCTTCCATATGTTCTACTGATAGGATTTTAACTTTTAGCCCAACTTTATAAGATAAGCAATTAATTTTGGAACATCCCTTAAATTTATTTTCCTCTGAGATATTAAACAAGGCCTATCAAGAGAATCCAAAGTTGTTCATAGCATGAGAAATTTTAGGCTTGGTATGTCTCTGAGGATTCTTTATCTCTAACTTCAGACTGAGGTAGACTGCTATAAATATTCTGCAGGCACACATGTACATATACATTACCCTTAGCATTTCAGGGTCCCAGTTGTCACCCTTGTAAAATGAGAGGATTGGACCAGTTGACGAAGGTCCCTAGGTCCAACAGATTTTATCTAATCATCTCTGACTACTCTTGGACCATTACATTTATTCAAGGGAGTGAAAGGAGAAGATGTTTGAGCAAACTGACTCTGCTAATGAGGTGAGAGGTTGAATATGTCAGCTCCACCAACTCTCTAGTGGCTGGGTAACTTCCAGAGCTAATGTCCATCATTCTTTTTGAAGTGGGGCAGCCCTCATCTGGAATTTGTTTCTAAGTTATACTAAGGAATGTGTATGTTCTGTTTGTTCTGAGTCTCAAATCAAGAGTTTGGATGCCCCCAGAATCGTTATTGGAGCACTGTCTCATGGAGCACATGGAGGATCCACTTCCAGGTAATAGAGAGAGGGCTTGGTTGAATAGCCTGTTCAGAGGACTAACTGTTCAGAACATTTTTCTTTGTTCAAAACTTTAAGGCTCAATCAACTTAAACTCTGAATCTGATTTTTACTTCCATATTCTTCAATGAGAAACAGGGAAACTAATTAGCCAGCTTGTTCTTCCTTTATTTCTTGTTTTCTCACTATACTCATCCTGACCATCTCTCAGTTTAGGGTAGTTACAGCATTAAATAAATTTAGTGACAAAATTTGTAGTTAGTTTTATAGAAGTCAGGAAATGCAGAGAATCAAAGAGTAAATTTACCTAATTCTATCATCACATACTTCTATTAGTTTGCTAGAGGTTCCATAACACAGTAACACATACTAAGTGGCTCAAATAAGAAATTAATTCTCTCCATCCTGGAGGCTAGAAGTCCAAGATCAGGGTGTAAGCAGGGTTGGTTTCTTCTGATGCTTCCCTCTTTGGCTTGTAAATGATTGTCTTCTCCCTTGCTCTTCACAAGGCCATTTCTCTGTGTGTGTCTGTGTCCAAATTTTCTCTTCTTATAAGGACATACAATTCTTATATTGAATTAGGGCCCATCCTGATGACCTCATTTTAACTTAATTGCCTCTTTTAAAACCCTTTCTCCAAACACAGTCACATTCTAAGATACTAGGGGTTAGGACTTGAACAGATGAATTGGGTGGGGAGGGCACAATTTAACCCAGAACATTACTTTAGTGCATATTCTTATATACCACAGTCATACACAAACACTTTTACTGTACAGAATTAGACCATGCATCAGATTATGCAATGGTTTGAATGTGTATGACAAAATTCACATGTTGGAAGCTTAATCCCCAATACAACAGTGTTAGGAGGTAAGGCCTAATAAGTCGTGAATGGATCAATGTAGTTATCACAGGAGTGGGTCAGTTATCTCGAGAGCAACTTACTATAAAAGCAAGCCCAGCCTCTCATGCACTCTCTCCCCCATGTATTCTCTTCTGTCTTTCATTATGGGATGATGCAGCACAAAGGCCTTTTCTTTTCCCTGATTCTGGCCACATGCTCTTGGACTTCCCAGCCTTCAGAACAGTGAGCTAAATTTCTGTTCATTATAAATTACTCAGTCTCTGTGTCTCAGAGCACACTGACTGACTGTTGATGTGTGTAACAAAGTGTTTACTTTCTCAAAATAACAAGCTCTATAATAGTTCTTTATGTTTCCAGAAGTCTGAGTAGCTTTCTTCAAAGGAAGATTTTTGTCATTTTGGGGATTTTCTTGCTTTTAGGGTGGTAATATTTCTTTCTTTTTTTCCTTTTCTCTTTAATTTAATGCAGGTGAGAGTGGATGGGTAAGGGTTTTTGTTTTTAACTAGCATGGTTGGTATACTTGGATGGGTAGAAGTGTTGTTAGCATTTTTTTAATCTTTTAATACTGTCTATTAGCTTTCATGGCTCATCAGCAAATGTTTTAATTTTTAGCTGTAGAACATATGACACCATTGATTTTTTTTTTTAAGAAAACACAAAATTGAAGGAATTAACATGGGGTGTTGCCTTTTGTTAGAATGACTAAGTTAAGCCTCTTGATTTTTATTTGTCCAAGGCAAACATGATATAAAGACTATGCACTACCAAAATAACACTCATGGCCATAGAAACTATGCTGCAGGCCCACGGGTTCTTTTAAATGGTCATGGCCATAATAGTGTGAATTCCATCAATTCAGTGGATGGGTGGGGAAATAAAAGTTTTCCCCTAAACTTTTAGGAAAAAGTAGGCTTTTGTTTGGTTGTGTGTATGGGTTTTTTTTTTTTTTTTTTTTTTTTTGCTTTTGGCTTTCATTTTTAAATCTTAAATGCTACTATTGCAGGCCACAAACATGACAGACAATGAGCAGGTAAAGAACCAATGAAAAAGTAAAACAAAAAACTCCTGGGTTAGCTAACAGGTTTCTAAAGGTATCACTGTGGTTCACAGAGAAGACTGCAGAGGATAGCAGCTAGATGCTGTATCAACTACCACAGCCTTAAAACAAAGTTGGTATCTCTTTGGACTTAAAATTGCTCCTATTCAAAAAGTGTAGAGCCACCATTCAGGGAGAAAGTAGCTGCTGGGCTCCGGAAACGCTTGGCATCTGGGCTCGGAGCATGCTTTCCATGACAATGACACGCTTCCCTGAGGATTGGCAGCCAGACTGCCTTCGGGGTCACTGCCATGGAGGAGCCACAGTCCAATCTCAGCATCGACCCCTTCTCAGTCAGGAAACATTTTCAGACCTATGGAAACTACTTCCTGAAAACAACGTTCTGTCCTCCTCGCTTTCCCAACCCGTGGATGATTTGATGCTGTCCCCGGATGATATTGCACAATGGTTCGGTCAAGACCTGGTTCCAGATGAAGCTCCTACAGTGTCAGAGGCTCCTCCCGTCGTGGCCCAGGCACTGACAGCTCCTACACCAGTGGCCCCCACGCCCCCCTTCTGGCCCCTGTCATCCTCTGTCCCTTTGCAGAAAACCTACCATGGTGACTATGGTTTCTTGGGCTTCTTGCATCCTGGGACAGCCAAGTCTGTGACTTGCACGTACCCCTGCCCTCGACAAGATGTTTTGCCATCTGGCCAAGACCTGCCCCATGCAGCTGTGGGTTGATTCCATACCCCGCACCTGGCACCCGCGTCCGTGCTATGGCCATCTACAATCAGTCACAGCTCATGACGGAGGTCATGAGGCACTGCCCCCACCATGAGCACTGCTCAGATAGTGATGGTCTGGCCCCTCCTCAGCATCTTATCAGTAGAAGGAAATTTACATATGGAGTATCTGGATGACAGAAACACTTTTTGACATAGCATGGCAGCGCCCTATGAGCCGCCTGAGGTCGGCTCTGATTGTGCCACCACATGTGTAACAGTTCCTGCATGGGCAGCATGAACCAGAGGCCTATCCTCATCATCACCTGGAATATTCCAGTGGTGATCTGCTGGAATGGAGCAGCTTTGAGGTGAGCGTTTGTGCCTGTCCTGGGAGAGACTGGTGCACAAAGGAAGAGAATTTCCTCAAGAAAGTGGAGCCTTGCCCTGATGTGCCACCTGGGAGCACTATGCGAGCACTGCCCAACAGCACCAGCTCCTCTCTCCAGCCAAAGAAGAACCCACTGGATGGAGAATATTTCACCCTTCAGATCCATGGGTATGAGTGCTTTAAGATGTTCCGAGAGCTGAATGAGGCCTTGGAACTCAAGGATGCCCGGGATGGGAAGGAGCCAGTGGGGAGCAGGGCCTACTCCAGCCACCTGAAGTCTAAGAAGGGGCAGTCTACCTCCCGCCGTAAAAAACTAATGGTCAAGAGAGAGGAACCTGACTCAGACTGACATTCTCCACTTCTTGTTTCCCACTGACAGCCTCCCGCCCCATCTCTCCCTCCTCTGCCATTTTGGGTTTTGGATCCTTGAACCTTGCTTGCCATAGGTGTGCATCAGAAACACCCAGGACTTCCGTTTGCTTTGTCCTGGAGCTCGACTGAGGATATTGGCCTGCACTTGTGTTTTGTTGTGGGGAGGAGGATGGGGATTACGGCATACCAGCTTTGATTTTAAGGTTTTTACTGTGAGGGATATTTGGGAGATGTAAGAATTTTTCTTGTAGGTAAGGGTTAGTTTACAATCAACCACATAGTAGGTGGGGGCCCACTTCTTCACCATACTAACCAGGGAAGCTGTCCCACACTCTTTAATTTCCTCTAACTTCAAGTTCTATATCTGTGAAATGCTGGCATTTGTACCTCCTCACGGTGTGTTGTGAGGGTGAATGAAATAATGTATGTCTGGCCTTGAAACCACCTTTTATTACATGGGGTCTTGAACTTGACCCCCTTGAGGGTTCTTGTTCCCTGTCCCTGTTGGTCAGTGGGTTGGTAGTTTCTATAGTTGGGCAGCTGGTTAAGTAGAGGGCATTGCCAAGTCTCTGCTTGCCTGACAAAATCCTCTCTGACAACCTCTTGGTGAACCTTAGTACCTAAAAGGAAATCTCAGCCCATCCCATACTCTGGAGATTTCATTTCTTGTATATGATGATCTGGATCCACCAAGACTTGTTTAATGCTCAGGGTCAATTTGTTTTCTTTTTTCTTTGAGACAGGGTCTTGTTCTGTTGCCCAGACTGGAGTGCAGTGGTGTGATCTTGGCTCACCACAGCCTTCACCTCCCCGGCTCAAGCGATCCTTCTGCCTCACGCTTTTGAGTAGCTGGGACCACAGGCTTATGGCACACGGCCGGCTAATTTTTACATGTTTTGTAGAGATGGAGTCTCGCAATGTTGGCTAGGCTGGTCTCAAACTCCTGGGCTCCAATCCACCTGCCTCGGCCTCCCAGAGTGCTGGGATTACAAGCATGAGCCACCGCGTCCAGCTGGAAGGGTCAATTTCCTTTACATTCTGCAAGCACATCTGCATTTTCACCCCACCCCTTCCCCTCCTCCTCCCTTTTTATATCCCATTTTTATATCAATTTCTTATTTTGCAATAAAACTTTGTTGCCAAAAAAAAAATTGTTCCTATGCAGCTTATTTTATTTTTTGATTAATCAAATAAACTGACATTGAGGTTTGTTTCATGGCAAATATTAAATAAACATCCTATTTTCAGGTGTTCTCTTATAGCAACAGAAAATAAAACAGACAACATAAATTAATCTATTAAATTTAAAATTTTAAATGTGAAATATTCATCTAATATGTTTAATGGCTGAATTATATAAATAATTATATAAATAATATTATATAAATAATAAACTCATTATATAAATGGTACCTTCTTACTACAGAGTGCTTCATATGATAAAATATGACATATGTTTTAGTTTAATCCCAGGGAGGGTGATAATAGCAATACTGGTTAATGTTAAAAGGAAAACGACAGAGAACACATTCAAGGGGGAAAAGTCCATGTTAATTTCAAATTTAGATGAAGCAACCCTGAAATGTACTTATTAACTCACCAAATCTGAAAATTTATTACATAATTGGCACTTAGCCCAGGAGCCAGGGCTTCAAATAAGGAAAGACACAAGGTCCCTCCCTGGCTTCATGGAGCTTCCACACTATGGTATAAGCAAAGGCAGTGACAAGCAAGCAAATAAGTAAAATTGTAGACTAGGCTAAACATGAGAGAAGGGAAAATAGAGCCATGAGAGAGGAACACTTAGGGAGACCAGCGAACCCTTTATGAAGAGGCCTTAAAGCTGAGACCCAAAGCAGAGAAGGGCCAGCCACATGAACAGCCAAGCAGCTTGGTCTCAGAGCCACTGTTCTTTCTGGTTAAACAAGAAGAGTTGTCTGGGCATGGTGGCTAATGCCTGTAATCCCAGCACTTTGGGAGGCTGAGGTGGGCAGATCACCTGAGTTCAGGAGTTCAAGACCAGCCTGACCAATATGGAGAAACCCGATCTCTACTAAAAAAAAAAAAAAAAAAAAAAAAAAAAAAAAAAAAAAA